CCCACCCCACCCACCCACCCACCCAAAAAAAAAATCCAAAAAAACCCAAGGAAAAAAAACAAAAGCGAACACCACAAAAGAAACTATTGCCCCATTGCAAATAGACCCCCTTTAGTTCAATTTTTTTTAGATAGACTTCCTTAGTGAATTTTTGTTGACTCTTTTACTCTCAGGAGTTCTGTTCGAAAAAAATAAATAAACTAATAAACTGTTCGAAAAAAATAAATAAACTAATAAACTATCTGTGAGAGTAAACGAGTTAAAAGAAATCATTTAGTGGGTCTATCTGCAGCAATATAACCATAGGGGGCCTACCAGCAATTGGGTGATATATAGGTTGTCCATCTGCAATTAACCCAAATAACAAAGTTTGCTTCTCATTTGAGATGGAGATATTTGAATTTTAATACCCCTTACATGAATCTACTCAAGTTTATTAATTGCTATTAGGTTTACATATGTTATTCTACTGTTACTGAGGTTTTGATAAAACTTTGATCTTTTCTCAGAGATATTACATAGATACTGCACGAGAGCTAGCGAGGTTGGTCGGGGTATGCAAAGCTCCGATCATACAACATTTTGCTGAAACAATCTCAGGAATGATGACAATTAGAAGTTTCAGCCAAGAATCCAGATTCATCGACATAAATTTTCATCTCTCTGATGGGTACTCTCGGCCCAAATTTTATACTGCCGGTGCAATGGAGTGGCTATGTTTTCGTTTAAATATGCTTTCCTTCCTCACATTTGCGTTTTCATTGATATTCTTGATTTCAGTGCCAAAAGGGTTTATAGATCCAAGTATGTTTTTCAGTATTTGTCATACTTCATTTAAGATAAAAATAAAACTGTTTACATGTAAATTTGATTTTTTTTTACCCATTTCAGGTATTGCAGGTCTCGCTGTGACTTATGGGCTTAATTTAAATATGCTACAAGCTTGGGTCATATGGAATCTCTGCAATCTTGAGAATAAGGTAATATCGGTAGAGAGAATACTGCAGTATACATCCATTGCTAGTGAACCACCTCTTGTTATTGAGCAAAACAGACCGAGTAGTAACTGGCCTTCACTGGGAGAAGTTGAACTTCATGACCTTCAGGTAATTGTTGGTGTCTTCACTGCTATTAAAATCCTAGAGTTTTAAATAGCAACTGCTCTATGCTTAATGTCTTTCTCCTATTACAAGTTTTTTTTTTTTTTGAAGATTGTTGGGTAGGAATACTTTCACTGGGTAACCATAAATTTTGAATTTACCAACCCCCATGATAGAGTTGCAAAAGTCTATCCAATGTATGATGTCTTACCTTGTATAGATATAAAACATCTTATGCCTGCTTGCTTGATGCTTTTGCAATATAATATATAGGTAACGCTACACAAAATCTATATGGTTTCTAAACTGATAATCTAGAGAATTCAAAGCAATGTGAATGCAAAAGTAACACTAAAACTTGATGGAAATAAAACAATAAATAGTAAAAAATTATGAACCAAAAATATGAAACTGTAACTGCAAAAAGGTATGTTCGAATAAACTTGAAATGTGAGAATTTGCGAACAATTCACAGTTCCTTATGAGCACTAACCGTCTTGGATTGAATTCATTGAATTCAATTGGCAAAAGATTTTCGAGTTTTGGGTTCTTACTAAACCAATCACACAAAATCTTTGCATTAATAAACTTTCGTTGAAGTTGGGTTCCCCGGCTTCTTCTCTCAAGAAGAAGATGGAGGGTTTTTGGCGTTTTGGCGTTTCAGTTGTTTTCGCAAACATAGAAGGAACACGAGAGAAAGAGGAAACATCGCAAGGTTTTAATTTGGGGTTTCGGTGCAGTGGAGAGGACCTTTGATAAATTATGTTTTTGTTGGAATTTTCTACAATCTAGTTCTGAGAAAGTTTTTAGTTAACTATGTAGCTTCTTTGTTTATGTTGAACGGTTCATCTTAAGGATTTGTTATCATTACAGGTCCGTTATGCCCCACACATGCCCTTTGTGCTAAAGGGACTCACGTGCACTTTTGCCGGAGGGATGAAAACTGGAATTGTTGGGAGAACTGGCAGCGGAAAATCTACCTTAATTCAGGCACTTTTTCGTATTGTTGATCCTACAGGTGGCCGGATACTTATAGATGGCATCGATATCACAACCATTGGACTGCATGATCTAAGATCAAGGTTAAGCATTATTCCACAAGACCCTACCATGTTTTGAAGGAACTGTGCGTAGCAATCTTGATCCACTTGAAGAATACACTGATGCTCAAATCTGGGAGGTAATTGCATTTACTTCAAATATTGGTATTTTCTTTGTGATTAATAGCACATAGACCCCTTCTAGTATCTTTGTTTTGACCTTAGTACCCCTCGTAGTTTTGGGGTTGCAGATAGGCCCACTGGGTTAAGTTTTTGTAACTCTTTTTTCACACTGTCACTCACTAATTTCACCCTAAAACAATACCTGTCAAAACTTCACAGAGGTTAAAGAGTAAAAAACTTTTTCCCGGGAGTCTATCAGCATCGATTAAACTAGAAGGGCAGTAAGTGGAAAATAATGGTACTACAAGGGGTCTATGTGCAATTAACCCTTTTCTTTCTGTTTGATGGCTCCTATTATGTCATACAAGTATCAGTATTTGTTAAATTATCATCTTTTTAATTTTAATTTTTTATTTTTTTTATTTTAGGCCTTGGATTGTTGTCAGCTTGGAGACGAAGTTAGAAAGAAAGAGCTGAAGCTGGATTCTGCAGGTATAGTTCATATGGGCTATTTTGTGCTCTTTGGTACTTTTATCTCAGTTAGAAACTTGCATATCACGGTTTGTTATTAACCATGAAAATTTTTCGTATAGTGACTGAAAATGGTGAGAATTGGAGCGTTGGTCAACGTCAGCTTGTATGTTTGGGTAGAATTATTCTGAAAAAGAGCAAGGTTTTGGTTCTTGATGAAGCAACTGCTTCAGTGGATACTGCCACTGATAGCTTAATCCAGAAAACTCTGAGGCAGCAGTTCTCAGATGCAACGGTCATCACGATAGCACACAGGATAACATCAGTTCTTGACAGTGATATGGTCTTGCTTCTTGATGATGGTAAATAACTGAAAAATCACACGTTTTATTGTTTCAACTTCTTGATTAAGGTTGAGATTTCTGATATGAAATACATTTTCGCATGCAGGTTTGATTGTGGAACACAATAGGCCAACTAAGCTGTTAGAGAATAAGTTGTCCTTGTTCGCAAAACTCGTGTCTGAATATACGATGAGATCAAGCTCGCAGTTTTGAAATTTTGATGTTTAGATACCACGCTTTAGATGATGATGATAATTCATGAGAAGATTATAGAAGACTGTAATTTGTGGTGGTAAGTGAAGATTCGGCTGAATAGTGTATACTACGCAAATATATGAACAGAGAGCTAGCTTCTGAAGGTATTTTTGTTAAGGAACATTGGAAGTTAGGCAAGAAAAATTTGTATGTGTACGAACAGAATGTACCATTTTGAGAAAAGGAACCTCCAAGAGTACAACTTTGCCAATTACATTATAGGAGTTGGGGAAATTTGCTAAATCTTCACCTTTTTTTAAAACAAATTTTTTCATTTATTTTTTTAAGAGAACTAGTATGCAATGCGTGTGGATGTGATGTGAGTGGGGACCACGAGCTGAGGCTAAGGCTTGAAGACCCACGTGAAGAGAAGAGAGTTTTGCTGAATGCGGAGCTTTGTTCAGCGGTTAAAAAGGCCCACCCGGTACATAACTCTCTATAAATAGTCCCCTAGTTCCCCCCTAGGTTTTCGTGCAAGGAAAGGCAGAGGGGAGGCTTCTATTTGCGGCTGCAGAGAGCGAAGTGAGGGGGCAACAAGGTGGATTCCTTATTTCGGCGGCTTTGTTTCTTGGAGAAAACACAGCAAAGAAAAAGGATTTTGTGAAGAGAGAGAAAATATTTGGAGGCTGACATTTTCTTGTGAAGAAAAGCAAGGAGCCTATTTGAGGGTTTAAATTGTGAGAGTTGTAAACCCATTGTATTCTTTTTCTCTTTAATAGTAGATCTCCCCCTCCTTGCCCGGTGGACGTAGGCAGTTTGCCGAACCACGTAAAATTGGATTGTTTGAGTTTGTGGCCATTGTAATAGTTTTTAGGATCCCTCGACGCGCAGTCCTAGAGCTGACGAGAGGAAGAGCAAATATCCCACTTTGATGGGATATTAGGCTTTCAGATTCTTGTTCCCTTTGAGAAACAAGAATTCTTATCGATTTTTCTCTCTTATTGTGCACTAGAAACTCTGCCGAAATTTCCGCTGCGCACAACAAGTGGTATCAGAGCCCAGGTTCCAGATCTAGGGTTTGGTTGGAGGAGTAGATCAATTTGGAGACCCGTTTAGGACTTCGTTGGTGATAAAGGTGGGATCTTTTGGTAAAGACTCTATCTTTCAGTTTTGGATCTATTCTTCGAAAGCAAGTATTTGACCAAGAGTGTGGAAAATCGCTTGCATTTGAAGAGGAGGCTTTATCGTTTCCAATTGAAGAAGGGAACCTCCATTAGAGATCACATGAACCACTACACGAAGCTTCTTGGGATTTGGCGAACGTGGATGTTATAATTGAAGATGAGGACAAGGCGTTGTTGCTATTGAGTTTCTTGCCCGACGAGGAATATGAGACCTTCGTTCTTACTCTGATTAATGGGAAGGCATCACTTTCGTATAGTGAGGTCACCGCTGCACTTGTGAATTATCAGCTTCGAAAGAAGGATAAGGAGGCTTCAGTTGAGCCGGTAGCGGAGGCGTTGGTCGCAAGAGGGAAGGGTCCAAACCAGAAGAATTGGAAGTCACAGTCTAGAGTAGGAAAAGATCAGTGTGCTTGGTGCAAGGAGACTGGTCATTGGAAGAAAGACTGCCCAAAGCTCGACGAATGGATGAAGAATAAGCAGAAGGGGAAAGGGAAGCAGCCATCATCAGAAGCAAATATCGTATCGGATGGTAATAATTCTGACTCTTCTATTTATTCGCTTTCTATCAGTCCTACAGATAGCTATTCGGAGGAATCTGAATGGATGTTGGATAGTGGTGCGACCTATCATGTGTGCCCTAGAAGGGAATGGTTCTTCAGTTTTGAGAAGCTGGTGGATAGTGGTGTGGTATACATGGCTGATAACCGTGCATGCCAGATCCTTGGGATAGGAAGAATTCGCATAAAGATGTTTGACGGGACTGTTAGAGAGTTAAACGATGTGAGATATGTTCCTTCTTTGAGGAAGAACTTGATCTCAATTGGAACTTTGGTTGGAGAGAGTCTGAAGGTTCGTGTTGAGGACACAGTTCTCGAGATTACGAGAGACTCTCGTATTGTGATGAAGGGCGTCAGGAGGAATAACCTGTATTACTTGACTGGAGGTATAGTGGCAGGTGGAGAACTGGCGACTTCTGTTGATTCGACTAGACTACGGCATTTGGGGCTTGGCCATTCCAGTATTGATTCCTCGCATAGATTGAAAGAGGGTGCGAAGACCTGCAGTTTGAAGTCCAGTGAACATGTTGATGTGAGCAAGAAGACCGAGGTGAAGTGTGGCACCTCTATTCACCGTGCTAAGGGTCGTTCTGGAGGAGTTCACGTGGATGTTTGGGGGCCTTCCAAGGGGACATCATTGGGAGGTAATAGACGTTTAGTTTCCTTTGTTGGTGGCTGTTCTAGGCGTGTTTGGATTGCAACCAAATCCCCATTGGAGAAAGTCCTAGTAGTCTCTAACAGATTGAAGAAGTGTGTAATAGACAGAAAGGTGAAGGTACTCCATTCTGGTGGGAGGTACAAGATGGACCTGTTTCTGTATTGGAGCTGGAGCCGAGCTCACGGCATTTCGAGACACTTCGTTGGAAAGGAAATCTTGGGGCAACTAAATAGGGTGACAAATTTGGAGAACCGTGCCTTGCTGGAGGAGGATCGGTGTTTGTGGTCAAGCAATGGTTTGCAGAAGAGTTTCTGGACAGAGGCTTCGACATATTTGGGTCATCCTATTAAAGAGTTGTCAACTGCTGTGATTGGAGGTAAAACTCCATTGGAAGATAGGTCTGGTAGTGTTACTTTGGTTGAGGCTTCGATGAGGAAGCCAATTGACTCTCAGCAGGTGGAGAGTTTTGGACAGACCTTAGAGGTATCGCAGCGGGTGGAGAGTGATGCTACTCCACATTGGGTGAAGATTACTCCAGATCATTCTGCATTGGTTGGGATTCCAGCTGAGGTGACACAGCGTGGAAGTCATTTGGATTCGGATGCAGATGATGAGTTGGGTTTTGAATCGAGTGCAGCTGGCAGACATAGTTTGGATATGGCCATTGGTTCGCCTCAGGTGGAGGTGTTTGAGACCATTGGAGGTGCTATCAGCCGCAGAGTTGATGATATTGGAGAAATGGATTGAGTCTGTTATCGTGAATTGTTTCACGGTGTACTGGACACAACAAGTGAGACATTTGGTTTGGTTGGTGTCGGCTCAGTTTTGTGAAAACTTCACCGAGGTGGAGAATTGTGGATGTGATGTGAGTGGGGACCACGAGCTGAGGCTAAGGCTTGAAGACCCACGTGAAGAGAAGAGAGTTTTGCTGAATGCGGAGCTTTGTTCAGCGGTTAAAAAGGCCCACCCGGTACATAACTCTCTATAAATAGTCCCCTAGTTCCCCCCTAGGTTTTCGTGCAAGGAAAGGCAGAGGGGAGGCTTCAATTTGCGGCTGCAGAGAGCGAAGTGAGGGGGCAGCAAGGTGGATTCCTTATTTCGGCGGCTTTGTTTCTTGGAGAAAACACAACAAAGAAAAAGGGTTTTGTGAAGAGAGAGAAAATATTTGAAGGCTGACCTTTTCTTGTGAAGAAAAGCAAGGAGCCTATTTGAGGGTTTAGATTGTGAGAGTTGTAAACCCATTGTATTCTTTTTCTCTTTAATAGTAGATCTCCCTCTCCTTGCCCCGTGGACGTAGGCAGTTTGCCGAACCACGTAAAATTGGTTTGTTTGAGTTTGTGGCCATTGTAATAGTTTTTAGGATCCCTCGACGCGCAGTCCTAGAGCTGACGAGAGGAAGAGCAAATATCCCACTTTGATGGGATATTAGGGTTTCAGATTCTTGTTCCCTTTGAGAAACAAGAATTCTTATCGATCTTTTTCTCTTATTGTGCACCAGAAACTCTGCCGAAATTTCCGCTGCGCACAACAATGCATGCATTGGTTATAGTTATAAATAAACATATACCATTACATTTTTTGTAGCATGTTATAGCATAGTATATATAGATAAATGTGATGTATGTTGCACGTTATGTATGTTATAGTTATAAATATACAGATACCATTACATTTTCTTTGTAGCATGTTATAGCATAGTATATATAGATAAATGTGATGTATGTTTTAGTATAGTGTACGTGTGTTTGTACGTAAACATATTCATTTTATGTTATGATGTTTTTTGGATAGTAAAATGAGGGAAATAAATACATATTTTTTTAATGTTAAATAATGTTGAAAATACATATACTTTTAAGTTTTAGTAAATATTATTGAAAACACTAATATTATCATTTTAAAATATACCTGTCTAAATATTATAATATCATATTTAAAATATATATATATATATATACAACTTTGCCAATTACATTATAGGAGTTGGGGAAATTTGCTAAATCTTCACCTTTTTTTAAAACAAATTTTTTCATTTATATTTTTAAGAGAACTAGTATGCAATGCGTGCGTTGCACGTTATGTATGTTATAGTTATAAATAAACAGATACCATTACAATTTTTTGTAGCATGTTATAGCATAGTATATATAGGTAAATGTGATGTATGTTGCACGTTATGTTATAGTTATAAATAAACAGATACCATTACATTTTTTGTAGCATGTTATAGCATAGTATATATAGATAGTGTACGTGTGTTTGTACGTAAACATATTCATTTTATGTTATGAAGTTTTTTGGATAGTAAAATGAGGGAAATAAATACATATTTTTTTAATGTTAAATAATGTTGAAAATTCATATACTTTTAAGTTTTAGTAAATATTATTGAAAACACTAATATTATCATTTTAAAATATACCTGTCTAAATAATATAATATCATATTTACAATATATATATATATATAACGATAATTATTTTGTATCATACTAAAAACATTTTTAATATGTTTTCCACCATCGAAAAAATAATATTTTTACTATAATATTATTATTATTATTATTATATACTAATGTTTTTTAATTAAGCATATACAATATTTATTAGAAATTTTAATATTATAATATTGTTTTTTAAAATATTCATCTCGTTTAGGTGGTTTGAATTCCTTGGTCTTTTTGCATGTTTTCCATTACATTTAGTTGCAATGAGTGATTTTTATGATTACATTATTATTCTTAAAATGTACCCAATAGTCATTACTAATAAAACGAAAATAAGAGCAGAGAATTGAGTTTTTCTCAATATTTCCAACAAAGCAATATTCTTCATTTTTGTCATCAAATTGAATTTACATCATAACAATCATTTCTACTCA